AGTTTCTTTCTATGATTCCATGCACACTTCTATTTGCAGGGTTTGAGGTAATATAAAAAAAACATACTAGAATAAAAGATAACGTTTTCGTAAATACAGTTTATAAGAATATTAAATGTTTGAATCAAATCTGAAATTGATGAACTAAAAATGTTAAAACGGTATTCTGTTACATATAATGAATACTAAATCCGGGAATTAAATTTACGCTGATCATATAATAAGTAAAAGGACTACTCACAGGAAGTTTAAAATTGTATATTTCTTATTCTTTGCATTCATTTAATTTGTTTAGGTCCAGGAGCCACAATGTATTCCACCATCTAAGTCATTTTGACGTCACAGAAACACTGCGGCTAGGCTGCTGTCAATCGTAATATTAACCACGAGAAGCAACCTTTTGCAAGATTGTTCTTTTACGGGTAAATGTCATTAAAACATTACGTGGTTTCAATGTTTCAATGCGATGATTATATTTTTGTTTAATAGATTGGGAGTCGAGACCCCGGTGTCAGTGATATCAAACATTGAATGTTTATACTGATAATATTAAATGTCAATTAATTTCAAGTCAACAGTTAATGTAACTACGAATGAATAACTTCATGTTTACAGAACAGTGGGACAAAGTACGATCACGTCTGATTGCATGAGGAGTTCAGTAAGGTCATAGGTCAACTTGTTGCCTGAAATTATTTTTTCAATTAGTTTTTTCCCATCACCTGATAAGTAAACTAAAGGCCATATTTGATTGTATTCGGCAGGTCACTGAGTTTGTCATTATAGTATTGGATGCAACTATCATCACATATCAGGGACGTTACCTGAAGTTATTCCGTGTGACTGGATATTTGAAAGTCTGAAAGAAAGTAAAAACTAATTTGAATAAACTTGTGTAGTTGGGTATAGAAATTTACCAAATTTAAGGCTGACAAAATGGTCCTTAACAAATTCATTGTTCCCATGGAAACGATTTCGGATAATCTCGGGTTTTTGCTCTGTGTCACTTATTTGATGGAGTATTTCGTTCAGAAAAATATCTGAATTTGTAGTGTTTTTATATTTTCAACAAACTACTGCACTCACAATAAATCAATACAACATATGCACGTGCCACTCTGTAAATAAGCGTGACCGAGGTATGGAATTAAGACATCATTTACTTTGACGAGACTATTGTATGGAAGGCTGTCATCTGACTTCCCGATATATGGTGATAACACTGAAAGAAAAAAAAATAATCCTAGCTTTTGCCGGCGGTTTATCGACAATAAGAGGTAAATCGACGACATATTGCGCATGCTCAGAACAAATCATCCATGTATCAGACTTGGAGTAGAGTATTAACCATATATGTCAACGCGGAGTAGCACTGTCTGATTCAGTGTTGAGACCACGTGACTCATAGTGCTTCGTGCGACTGTACTCCCAATCCTAGTCGAGTCACTGAATCTCCAGGTGGAACATACACTTCTTGCGTCGTACCTCTTGTCCCTGGAAATACATAGCAACCATGTCAGGTATTGACACAGACGCTGTAAAGACTGCTTACGAGGATGTGAGAGATGACAGATCTGAAACATCCTGGTACGATATGGTTTGTTTTATTTCACCCATGTGTTACGTCTTATCAATTTCTGAAATTTACATTGCACTCAAATTGTTAACGTTAACGGTTTTAATTTCATTTCATCTATACGCAGGGTGTTTCTTAAATACAAAGATAATAAAATCGTATGTGACAGTGTGGGGACGGGATTTGAAGAATTCAAGTCGAAATTCACAGGTGTAGTATCGTGGATATTTATCAGCAGATTTACCCATTTAGTAATTGCAAATATAGCTAACATATTGACCTTTGACACACTTAGGAAACCTGAGGTGTTTGCACAGAATTTCGTTCTTTATTTTATTTCATTTGCTAAAAATGACGAGAATATCAACGAGATTGGTTTCCATGTTCCAAGGCCCTTCCATGTATATGTTTCATTCCTCGTTTCAACAAATTAAGTTGCAGTGGGGGTTGCAGATGTTTGAGTAGACAGGGGTGCAGCGCCATACAGATTATCTTGATCACATGTCACCCACTTTGTATGGTTTTCAAGATAACTTTGTATCGCGTCCGTCTTCAGAATTTCTATTTTTAACGATCGATGACAAATTCACCGATCGAAATGTCAGGTTTCTCCGACTACTAGATATAATAATACAGATATAAAGATGTCTAATTATATGTCTCACGTGATGCACTGATGATACATTCTCATTCACAGACGACGAACGCGGGTTTGGATTTATACGCCTGGTGACTGGAGATGAGATGAGTAAACGGTCAAAGTTTGCACTCATAACTTGGATAGGACAAGACGTCAGCACGCTAAAGAAAGCCAAAGTCAGTACGGATAAAGGTCTCGTCAAACAAATAATCCAGGTATGTTTTAATTGTGCTTACGCACAGTACATTGCGACGTATTTGATTGTAAAATGGTTTAAACAGTTGCCTTCTTCTGGTAGTCCAGCTTGGGTTCGTGGGTCCATGTTTCTATCGTTAACTGTGTTATCGCGTTATTATGTGCATTTAAAACAGATAAATATGATAAATTTAGACATTCTAAAGCGCATTTGTTGAAGCAAGGAGATGCATAATCTAAACAGGTATGTATTTTTCAATATAAGGTACACGAATATCACTGTCTCTTGATGATTGCCTCACTTTGAAAAAAAAATAACGGTACAATAGTATATTGGGTCTACTACGTCAGCTGCATATCAGCTTCCCCAAAACACAACTTATACGCAAATTTAATTAAACTAGTGAATTGAAAACCCAGTGAATATACCTGCAACATCAAATCGTCTCCATTCAATGCATATTTCTCGTTCTACGGTATTCTGTGATACTGTAATTTAGGCACGTCATAATTACTGGCGCTATTGGCTGTCGCCTGGTTTCAATAGTATTATTCTGTGAAAGCAAGTTTGTTTAAATCGCCTGTCACTCTATCATGTACAATTTTTATTTACTCTGGTTTTGTTAAATGGGTTCATTATAGCGACTTTTATTTTGTTTAATGAAGCGACATTCAATAATTTGTAAGCTCGATTTTCGTAAGAAATATTAATTAATGACAGTAATAAAGAACACTAAAGCATGTCGGGAAAAGGACACGTGACCACGCCCAAGTGTGATTATCACCGCAGCTGACCTGATCATGGTACTCAACATAAAAAGGAG